TTTGGAGGCCTCTATGACTGCTTTGGCTGGGGATGAGCTGCTGGCATAGGATCATCAAGCAATAAGTCCAAAGGCAGCTGGTCTGCCTTCAACCGGTCAACATCAACCCCCGGCGCCTTCACGGACTCCTTGNACCGCGAGGCCCGGCCCGTTAGGCCCACTAAGGCCCGGGCCCGGGACAAAATACAGCATTACTTGGAAACCCGCGTCTTCCTTAATTTCTTGTGCTCCCTAGCAAGATCTTTGAGAGACTGGATGTGCGAAGCAATTGCCTTTGTGATCACCATATGAGTATCGAGGATTTTCTTCTGGTTATCTAAAATCTCTTTGAGAGCATCCTCTATCGACTGGGGAACCTGTGGGGGTGGAGGTGCCGACTGAGCCTCTACCGTGGTAGTGAGAGTGGACAACTTGGATGACGCAGTCTGCATCCAGTTGTTTATACTAAGATGTGCCTGGCTCAGTCGGTGGGCAGTAATAGGATGCGCACGAAAGGATGGAATCTTCGGGTCCGCTGAGGTGGATGGACTAGGAGGGATAGCAGTGGAAGTAGAGGCAGGCTCAGCATGAGTCACTATCACAACTGGCTCTTCAGACTGCCAGTTGGAGCAGTAACTGTACCCTTGAAATTCTTGCTCTTGGGGTTATCATCCCTCTGCATGTTGTACCAGGAAAAAGGGGCCTTCGCTTTGACTTTGATGTTGAAGGGCCTCTTTTCCACTTTCAGATCCCGGAAGTACATAGTGAGAAAACTGGGGAACGGGTAGTTTCTGTCATGCTCAGCACCCACAATTGTAATAATTCTTGACATCACATTCCCCATATTTATTGGGTACCCTGCCATGATTGACGCCACCAAAACTGCTCGGTGAAAAGGTAGGGAGTTGTCATGAGTCGTGGGGTTCAACCTGCTACATATAAATGTCTCCCACCCCCGTGCCTCGAAATTCAGACTACGTCTCAGAATCTTGACGCTCGCAGTCAACCAGTCAGGGGTGGTACCCGAGATTGCCAGGTATTGTGCTAGCCAGAGACGGACCTCCTCGCTCATTTCCATATTTGCCATGTATAGGGTCTCATCCTCCTCATTGAAGCCAAGGTAATCATTTATTGTCTTCCCGTCAAACATCACTTTCAGGTTTCGAACCTTGATCACCTTGGAGCCCTTTTTGATGTAGGCAGCGTTGGTGTAGAATTCCTTGACCAAGTGTTCATTGGCATCCACACACTCATCCAAAAAATGTTCCTAGCCTACTCTCGCCTTAAACTGCCTCCTTACATTAGGGTTGTGAGGTAGCAAGTCTCTATCTACAAAACTCCTCTCCGGGATCAACTTTCTCACTGGCCACCATTCCCAGAATTTATGATATACTACCTCACTAACAAACCGGTCTTGCCACACCTCCGGCTTCCTAGTTCTAGCAATACCCCCCACCTGTGGTTCACCTCCTTCTCCTACTTCCTCTTCTCCCCCTATTTCCTCCTCATCACCTACTGCACCCTCTCCAAATAATGAAGCTATGGGAGAGGTGGAGTATTCCCCACTATCTTCACCTGAGCCCTCAGACGACCCAGAAGAAATGTTTATGGAAGCTTGTGCAGCGGGGGATGCCGGAGGTGTGTCTCTCAACTTGTTCCTCTCCGACCAGTCAGGGATGTATTCTGGCACAGAGTCCGAAGAGATCTCCCGGGAGGGCTCATACTCACTCTCCCACATGTTAATAGCTCTGTCAGCAGCTTTTATCATCTTCCTCATTTTTTTGATGTTTTGCATAGCTTGGGAGTGAGTTTTATCATTTTCTGCTTCCCTCCCTAGGAGGATGGACTTCTGCTAGGTTGTTTAGATCCTTTACCCCATTGTTTTATCATTGTCTGCAACCACAATCAAGTAAGCTTGTTAGAATCAGTAGATAGTGAAAAGCAGTGTTGCAGAAAGAGTTGCAAAACAGGAGAAAAAATTGCAGACATGTTGCATAAGTCACCTAGTGCGGACCGCACAAAATGGTGTGCGGACGCACAGGGGTCAATGTGGACCACACAAAATGGTCATGCGGTCCGCACAGAGGTGGGGTTCAGACTACCCACTCTCTGTATCTCGGCAGTACGGATCACATAAAATGTAGTGCAGCCGCACAAGGGGCAATGCGGTCCGCACAAAATATAGTGCGGCCGCATTCCCTGGGATTCAGCTTTCAGAACATTAGGCAGTGCGGTCCGCACAAAATGGTACTACGGACTGCACAGGGGCACCACGGACTGCACAAAGACGACCGCGGTCCACACCAAGTGCCCAGCTGTGGCACTAAATTAGGGTTCCCAGCTGTGGCACTAAATTAGGGTTCATGAATTTTTGATTTTAAGCTTAATTAACACCTAAGTCCTGTCCCTAAGAGTTTGCCCAGCATATGTAACTAACTATGTCTATATTAATCGAAAGATTAACTACCTTAATCTATTCTACAAAAGAAAGTAGGGGAAGAAGAGAAGCAAAAAAAACACAAATTAAAAGAAATTAACAAAAGAGAACAAGTAAAAGGAATGTAATGGTACCAGATATGAGATGAAATGAAGAATAACGAGTCCAAACAATTAGTTACAAGCAAGGGAAGTGATGAACAGTGTCTTAAAGCTTATGAGATTCAAAGGTTCGAAAAGGGTAAAAGGAGGGCCTTAGGCCCTATTTATAGAAAAGGACCTAGGGCCCAGTCTCACCAACCAGTGCGGACCGCACAAAATCGACCGCAATCCGCATAACACATCTATTTTCAAGCTTGAGGAGGCAACACGCTGCGGTCCTCACAAAATGGACTGCGGCCGCAGTGGTCCACTGCCGACCGCACAAATGTAGTGCGGCTGCAGTGGCAAACTTCAGAGAGGTCTACATTTCACCCTCACCAGTACGGTCCGCACTAAATGTAGTGCGGCCGCATTAACAACTTCAGAGGCCTGGCACTTTTTTTCCACTATGTTCTGCACTGCATTAACACAATTCTGTAACATCTCACAACCAGTTAGCCCAAAAATCAATCCTACTCTACAAATGAAAATCAAATAAAAACAAGAAGAAAAACACATGGGTTACCTCCCAAGAAGCGCCTGATTTAACGGAGCAGCACGACGCAGGTTACTATCACATCATTTGAAATTAAGAAGTGCCACCACGTGGCTGTCATCAATTTTTCCAAGATAATGCTTGACCCGGTGCCCATTAATTCTGAAGACCTCTCCATTTTTGATTTTCAAATCAAGAGCACCAAAAATGGTCACCAGCACCATTTCAAACAGTCCACTTCATTTTGATTTAAGCTTACCCGAAAACAGACGTAACCGAGAATTGATTAAGAGAACCAAATCAACTACTTTAAACTCCTTTCCACGAGCATATTTATCATGAAGGTACTTCATCTTAGTCCTTGTACAAGGACGAACTGGAGTAGGCGTGGAATCAGAATTCATCAAGTTCATTAAGCTGCTCCACAAGAAGATTGGTTGCAACATCCCACTCAAGATTTAGCTTCCTCAAAGCCCACATGGCCTTGTGCTCTAACTCAACCGGTAGATGTCAAGCTTTCCCAAACACCAACAGATACAGAGATATACTAATCGGAGTCTTGTAAGCAGTCATATAAGCCTATAGAGCATCATCCAACTTCTTCGACCGATCAGTCCTATCTGCATTGACCGTCTTTGACAATATGCTTTTGATTTCCCTATTGGAAACTTTCACTTGACCACTTGCCTGAGGATGATAGGGGGTAGAAACGTTGTGATTGACACCATACTTTGAAAGCAAAGTGTCGAAAGCTCTATTGCAAAAATGAGACCTCCCATCACTTATGATTGCACGAGGAGTACCAAACCTTATAAAAATGCTCTTCTTGAGAAATGCAACACTCCGGGCCTCATTGTTGGGCAAATCCACAACTTCAACCCACTTTGAAATATAATCAACCGCCACAAGAATGTAGTGTTCCTGCAAGAGCTAACAAATGGGCCCATGAAATCAATGCCTCATACATCAAAAATATCAACCTCAAGAATTGTATTGAGAGGCATCTCATCTTTCTTCGAAATTCCACCCGCTCTCTGGCATTCATCGCATCTCTTCACAAAATCACCCACATCTTTGAATAAAGTTGGCCAATAAAACCCATAACTAATAACTTTAGAAGGTGTCCTCGCCCCGCCATGATGTCCACCATAGGGAGAGGAATGGAAAGCCTCCAAGATACTTAATTGCTCTTCCTCCGGGACACACCTTCAGATCACACCATCCGTGCAAATATTGAACAAGTACGGCTCATCCAAATGGAAATCCAAACTATCCCGCTTGAGCTTCTTCCTTTGGTTAGAAGAGAGCTCATACGGGATTATACCAGTCACAAGGAAATTAGCAACATCGGCAAACCATGGTATATCGTTCATCGACACTGAAAGGAGTTGTTCATTGGGAAATGAATCATTGATCTCTAGGCCATCACGAGGCATCTCCTCTTCCTCCAAGTGGGACAAGTGGTCTGCCACTTGGTTCTCACTACCCTTCTGATCCACAATCTCCAAATCAAACTCTTAAAGTAACAAGACCTATCGCATCAGTCTAGCTTTGGAGTCCTTCTTCATTATCAAGTACCGGAGTGTGGCATGGTCGGTATGAATAATAACCTTAGCACCCATAAGATATGGCTAGAATTTTTCCATAGCAAACACAATAGCCAAAAGTTCCTTCTCGGTCACCGTATAGTTCACTTGAGCATCATTCATTGTCTTGCTCGCATAGTACACCAGATGAAACATTTTGTTCACTCTTTGACCCAAAACCACCCCAACCGCAACATCGCTCGCATCACACATGAGCTCAAAGGCAAGCTCCAATTAGGCATGGTGATGATAGGAGTGGTGGTCAGCTTATGCTTGAGAAGTTCAAAGGCTTGCATACACTTGTCATCAAACACGAACTTAACATCTTTTTCCAATAACTTGCACAAGGGATTCACTACCTTCGAAAAGTCTTCGATAAATCTCCGGTAGAACCCCGCATGCCCAAGAAAACTTCGAACTCCCTTGATGGATGTAGGGAGAGGGAGCCTTGAAATCACATCTATCTTTGCTTTATCCACTTCAATGCCATGCTTCGAAATTTTATGTCCAAGAACTATTCCTTCTTCCACCATAAAGTGGCATTTCGCCCAATTGAGGACAGGATTGGTTTCTTCACAACGGGCCAACACCCTATCAAGATTCTTCAAGCACTCATCAAATGAATCCCCCACAACTCTAAAGTCATCCATGAACACCTCCAAAATGTCTTCCACCATATCAGTGAAAATGGCCATCATAGACCGCTGAAATGTAGTTGGTGCATTACACAATCCAAAAGGCAAACTAGAGAAGGAAAAAATGCCATATGGACAAGTGAATGTGGTCTTCTCCTGATCTTTCGGAGCAATCAAGATTTGGTTGTACCCAGAATACCCATCCAAGAAGCAGTAGAAGGCACGCCCAGCAAGCCGGTATAACATTTGGTCAAGGAAAGGCAAAGGAAAGTGATCCTTGCGGGTCACTTTATTCAACTTGCGGTAATCCATGCATACCCTCCAACCGGTGACGGTTCTTGTAGGAATCAACTCATTTTTGGAATTTGTAATCTCGGTCATGCCACCCTTCTTCGGTACACATTGTACCGGCGAAGTCCAAGAGCTATCAGAGATGGGGTACACAACCCCAGCATCCAACCACTTGATCACCTCCTTTTTCACAACTTCTTGCATTACCTCGTTCAACCTCATTTGATGCTCCAAGGAAGGCTTTGCATCATCTTCTAGAATAATCTTGTGCATACAGAATACGAGGCTTATTCCCCGAATATCAGCTAAAGTCCATCCAATTGCCTTTTTCCGCTTTTAAAGCACCGCCAATGTGGCATCAACCTGCATGTTAGTAAGGCAAGAAGAAAGAATAACTGGCAAAGTAGAATTTGAGCCTAAGAACTCATACCTGAGGTGTGGAGGCAGTGGTTTCAACTCCAACACCGGAGGCTCCTCAATTGAAAGTTTACTTGGTGGAGTCTTTCTATTCTCGAGATCCAAAGACAATTTCCTAGGCTCATAAGAATAAGAGCCCATTCCATGTAAAGCATTCACACACTCCACTCGGCTTTCATCTTCATTGACATCAAGATTCAGCAATACGACCTCCAATGGGTCCTCCACATTGATCATTGCACTGGTGTCATCAATTATCACTGCTGTGACAAGGTCAACAAAAGAGCACACCTCGGTACTATTAGTTGCTTCATAGATTTGCACACATTAAAGACCACCTTTTCGTTACCCACCTGGAAGGTGAGTTCCCCTGCTTCCACATCTGCCAATGCCTTCTGCGTAGCTAGGAAAGGTCTGCCCAGTATGATAGGAACTTCATAGTCCACCTCGCAGTCCAAGATCACAAAATTAGCTGGCAAGATAAATTTGTCCACCCAGACAAGAACATCATCAATAATACCCAAGGGTCTCTGCGTCGATCTATCCACCATTTGTAACCTCATGGAAATCGGCCTAGGTTGCCCAATACCCAAAGTTTTGAAAACTGAGTAGGGCATCAAATTGATACTAGCTCCCAAATCACATAGAGCCTTGGCAAAATCCGCACTCCCAATGGTGCAAGGAATGGTGAAGGCACCAGGATCTTCAAGCTTCGGGGCCATTGAATGCACTATAGCACTAACTTGGTGAGTCATCTTTATAGTTTCACAATCCATAAAATGCTTCTTTATGACAAAGTCTTTCATGAATTTTGCATAGCCCGACATTTGTTCAAGAGCCTCTACCAAAGGCACATTGATGGACAAGATCTTCATCATATCAGTGAACTTTTTGAACTGATTATCATTTTTCTGCTTTGCGAGCCTTTGAGGATAAGGTGAAGGTGGCCTTGGCAAAGAAGCCTTGGCTTTAGGCACACCCGGCTCCGGCATGTCTATTATGTGTTCCCTAGACGGGTTCACATCATTTTGAGTTTCCACCTCGACATCTTAAATATCAATCCTCACTTCGTTGTTCACATTTTCTTCAACCACATCTTCAACTACCAAAGGGACTTCATCTTCTTGCAACTCAACATCATCATCTAAGATTTGCTTTTGTTTGGAGGCATTCACATCACTGCCTCTCCCACTTCTTGTTATTACCGCCATGACATGATTGTTTCCACCCTTCGGGTTCACTACCGTATCACTTGGTAGAGCACCCTTAGGGCGAGTATTTAAAGACTGTGAGATTTGGCCTAACTATACCTCCAAATTTCTGATAGAGGTATTGTGGGAAGCCAATTGTGCATCCGAATTCGCATTCTTCTTCATCATCTATTCAAACATCATTTCAATTCTACTCATATCATTGCCAGAAAAACTAGGACCTTGAGATGGAAATAGGGGTGGATTGTTCGATTGTTGGTACATTTGGGGGCCTTTGAAAGCCTTGCCCCCGATTTCCTTGGTTTCTATTGTTCCATCCACCTTGATTGTTATTGCCACCCCAATTGTTGTTATTACCATTCCAATTCCCTTGGTTGCTTTCATTGTTGTTCTGATTTTCCCAGTTGTTGTTTTGGTTGTTTTTCCCCCAATTACCATTGTTTTGTTGTTGATTGCCCCAATTACCATTGCCTTGTTGTTGATTGCCCCAATTGCTTTGAGGTCTCCATTGTTGTTGGTTGGAAGAATATCCCCATTGGCCTTGTTAATTATTCACATATTGAACCTCTTCACTTTGGTCATCATAACCATCATTTTGAAATCCATCACAGTCATCATCAAATTGCTCAGAATTCCCTTGGTTTTGTTGCTTTCTTTGCCTTCTCTTGTTGACAAGCATATTGACACCCTCCATGGCATTCGCTTGGCGAGGGTTTTGGACTTGTTGCAACTATGCCTTAGCCAATTGGTTCATAATAGTTGTCGACTCCGCTATAGCTTGCCCATGGTCATGCAATTCCTTGTGCAAATGAGTAACTATGGGGTCACCCTGGGGCATATTTGCTCTACTTTTCCATGCAGAAGAAGTGTCAGCCATCTCATCAAGTATATCACATGCCTCATCATACGACAGCTTCATAAAGTTGCCCCCAACTAGTTGGTTCACTATGCATTGGTTTGTGGTGTTAATACCCCAGTAGAAGTTTGTTGGATCATAGCCTCGGTCATATTATTGTTGGGGCATTCCTTCACCATCGTTCTGTAATGCTCCCAAATCTCATGCAAAGGTTCTGTGGGCTCTTGCTTGAAGGCCAATATCTCATCATGCAATGCCGCCATATGTCTCGGCGAGAAATATTTAGCAATGAATTTATCCGCCAACTCATCCCAAGTTGTGATGGAATGGATGGGAAGTCTCTCGAGCCAATCTAATGCCTTCCCCCAAAGTGAGAATGGGAAGAGTCTCAACCTAAGAGCATCCTCGAACACATTCGTTTGCTTGCTCCCCCAGCATGTATCCACGAACCCATTGAGATGTTTGTAGGCATTTTGAGTTGCAACGCATGTGATATACCTACACTACTCAAGTAAGGTCAACATCACATTGGTTATCTAAAAATTGCCCGCCCAGATTCGGGGTAGGACCACTCGCATAGCCCTGGTTTGGAAGTACTCTGGGAGCCACTCTTGGAGGTGGCGGAGGAGGGTCTGGAATATTGTCATTGGGATTAGCATTGGCATTGCGGCCTCTACGTTATCCTTGAGGTACAAGAGGCACCTCATCATCTCCGACATCATCTACCTCCTCCCCCGCAATCACATTTCCAAGAGGGTTATTAGCGTTGTTCGCTACCATTTGGTACCTAAGTTGCGACACAAACAAGTAAGTAACAAAGAAGGAAAGAAGAACAATACGCAAAACTAACTAAATAGATAGCCAAAACCATTAGCTCCCCGACAATGGTGCCAAAAAGTGATTGCGGCCTACTCCGCACTACTATTGAGTAGCGAGAGAGGGTCAGAGCAGCTTTTACCCGATTTAGGATCGGGATCGATTTTCACAGAGAGCTAGAATTTGGAATCGAGTATCTATCTAGTTTAGGATTGTGTATGTGTTCCAAATTACACTTCTAATCATTTTTGGGGTTTTCATTTTACTTCTACTATTATCAACTACAAATGGTAAATGCATCTAGATTAAGCTAAGAGTTAATCTAAAAAGGTTTGTTCAAATTGTTTAAAAGGCACTAGGGTAATGACTTTCACCTAGATGGTTAATTGACGGGTAATTGAATCTAAGACACGATTGACATAATTGAGGAGTATGATATAACTGTTGCACGATATTACCCACTCTACACCTCTCGGTGGTTCGAGTGATTTTGCCCGAATTGACTTTCTCAAGACCAATTGGGTATGCAAATTTTCACAAGCAACTAGGGTTCAAGTCGGGTATTACTCTCTCGAGGTTTAACCCTTTAATTGGGGCTATCAATCTCTTGAGTATGCCCCAATTCCTTGTTGGACCAATTTCGGAGGCTTAGGCTCTCTTTCTCAAGAAGAGCCCTAGTCAACTAAACACAAACTAGTGTTTGCAACCACTAATTCAGCAATTAACCATGAAATTGGCCCAAATATCAAACACCCATAGTCAATCTAGCCCTAAAATACAAGACCCATCAATTACCCATACTAGGGTTGAGCCACAACCCTAGCTTATGGGTCTAGCTACTCATAACTAAAGAAGAAAAGCAAGAAATAGATGAAGAACAACTCATATTAATTAATCACTAAGGTAAATAACAAGATTCAATGATAAAAAGTAGATAAAATTGCCCAAAATGGCTAAGAAGGTCGAACCCACGAGTGCAACTATGTTACAAAACTATCTGATACCCTAAAAATGGGAAAAGAATCTATTTATACTAAGCTGAAAATTCTAGACAAAGTGCCCCTGCGGGGTTAGTGCCTACCGCACAAAATGGTGTGCGGACGCACTAGGGTTCTGAACTTGAAAATACAACTCTCTGAACTTGGGCAATGCGGACCGCACATAATGGACTGCGGCCGCATAGGCTTCTAGTGCGGTCCGCATAAAATGGATCGCAGACTGCATAGGCTTCAATCCTCAAATCAGGCACCTCTCTGATCTTGGGTTCTACGGACTGCACTAAATCGAGTGCGACCGCATTGCCTTCAGTGCGGACTGCACAAAACCTAGTGCGTCTGCATTGCATCTTTGCTTGGAAATCAACCTCTCTAAATCTCCTAGTGCGGACCGCATAGAATGGTGTGAGGCCGCACTGGGCCTGCTTTGCCTGAGCTTGTCTTGTCTTTGGCACTTGTGCAAGTTTCACTCCTTTTGAGCTGATCTTTGACATCTTGTCACTTTGTTGATCAAACCTGCAATCAATCATAACTTGTGAGCCTTTTGGGACTATTTTGTACAAATTTCTAATCAAAACTTAAGCAAGATGGAGTATAAAAGATATCAAAATCCCTAGTTATCACTAACATCAAAAGTTAGACTAAGTGAAGAAGAGAATATCTATGGTGTTGTGATGTCATTAAGGGTGCTTGTAAGCTAAGGTAAGCTTTTGTTTGAGTTTGTTCTGATTATTTAAGGTATGTGTAACACCCTATTTCTTGGGCTTAAGCCTATCTATGTGTTGATTAAGTTATTTGGATGAAGAATTACAAGATAGAACTTGAAGTTGTATAAGAGGTTGTTGTCTCTTATTGGACTATTTTGGAGTTGTGTATATGACTTTATATGGC